ACTTACGGCGCCGGCGCGGCAGAGCGGCGCGGGGTCCCGGGGGCACAGCCCAGCCCAGCCGATGTCGGGCTTTGCAGACGTTTCCACACCTGGAAGGGGCTACGCAGCTGAGATCATCCCGCGGAATCGGGGAAGGGCCCGCGGTCAGACAGCGTCTCCCCAGGGAGAAGCTCCAGCCGTGTGGGTCCACGTGGGGCTGGGACGCGACAGGCTCCCAGAGCAGGAGTCGGAGAGCGCAGGGCGGAGAAGGTGGCCGCCCGTGAGAGAGGCTGGCAAGGTGATCGATCCTGCCAGCCCACCCAGCACTGGGGAGGTCATGGCCGGTACCAGCCAACAAGAAACCAGTGAGCAAAAAGCTGCGGAAAACTGCAGCTTCTGAGGAAGGGCTGGAGAATGCCTGCAGACATCACAGCTGTGACATTTCACCAAAACTGAACAAAATGAATAAAAACTGATTTAAAAAATGCCCCACCAATGTGGACATCGTTCGCACTACCTAGCTCCCTCAGCTTTCCCAAAACCCTCCCTTGCATTTTTGAAGTCTGTTTCTTACTCTTTGAGCTTATTTCCACTGATGATATTTTGGCACGATGAGAAACCCAAGACAACTGCATTTCTGGCTCCATCTGTACTTGTGCTCAGGAAGCTGCTGCAAAGACCCTGGCCAAGGAGCATCTCTAGTTACCATCACCTCCAATCTAAAGCTTTCAAAGAACAAAAATAGCAATTGTACTGCTACCCTAAATAGTAACTAACTAAATTGTATTAATATGCAGTAAGACTTTACAGAAGGGTCAGGGAGGAGAAATGCACAGAACTTGGGTGGAAAAAACACACAGTACTCTCAAACCACCTTATACAGACCTGGGCAGTTGGCTGCTAGGTCAGAAGGGACCCTGGAGCAGGCATCATGCCCACAGCTTTGATTGTACTGAAATAATCCTGCAGTAACAGTTCCCCCATTGTTGGGATCTCTTCCTTTTACAAGATACTTGTGTTTCTAGGCAGTATTCAGGATGCTGGAGTGAATCACTTCCCCAGGCTGCATCAGCTGCCTCATCCAGCTGCTCAGCTGTTTTCCTACATAACGACAATTCTTTTTTCCTCTGAAAGCTGGCAAAAAAGATGACTTGAAACAACACAAGGCTGCCCTGCTTTAAGGGCCCAGCAGCTCTTACCTCCTTTCTCAACCTGGACCCAACAACTTTGCTGATACCCACCCTTAAATGCCACATCCTAACAAGGGACACCTATTCCCAAGCCCTGCCTCACACAGCAACTTCTCATAACAAGCTGATGACACACCTGAAGGGACTGATCCAGTCCTTTTTTTTTTTTTTTTTTTTTGGCTCCCAGGGGACAAGCTGCTCCCCCTCACCATAGCTACTAGCAACCATTCCTGCACAAACCTATTCCCATTTGGTGTGAAAAGGCTATTGCAGCATTTGAAAGCTGAGCGAGCCCCACAGCACCCTTTACCCCCTTGTCACTCCAGTTCCTTTCCTGCTCTTCATCTTGGGGAAAGGGATTCAAAGCATCCTGTTGGCAGCTCACAGCATCCCTGTGTCATGAGAGGGCACATCAAGCCCACGGATGGCATCATCCAAAACAGCAGCCAGCCAAGCACAGCTCACATGAGATAGGATATACTGGGAAGGGTGGGTTAGTGGGGAAAATGCACTCAGGCTCATTCATACTGCTGTACATGGACTTGGGTGATGGCTAGCAGGTCAAAAAAGTCCCTGGGGAGTCAGAGGCTTTGGAAAGAGCAGACTTGCAGCTTTCCCAGTCCCACAGTAATAATTCTCTCTGGAGCCAGAGCCCACCCTTTTAAGATGTTTGGGTCTCCACGCTGCTATTTGCATTGAGATTTCAGTTTCTGGACCACAGACTGCATAATGCTGGAGGGTGTCACTGTCCCACATCAGGTCCATTATCCCGTTGTTCTGCTGGTTTCTTACTTATGTTCTTCTTTTTTCCTCTTTGTTTTGCTTCAAGCCATTTTTCCCAGTTCTCAAGGCTGCGCTTTTCTGAGGATTGCCCGTCAATGCATGTCCCTAAGAAAAACCCCTTTTCAGTCCATAGTTACCTCCACAAGGTGGTAGCTGACCATTTTCCTATTAGCTCAGCCTTAAATGTCGCATCCTAACAAGGGTCACCTAGTTCCAAGCTCAGGTTCACCCAGCAGCATCTCATGACAACCTGAAAACACACCTGACATCCCCACTCATGAGACCTGACACGTTTGGTGTAAGACCTAACACCTACAGCCTGTTAGCAGGAGAGACTATTTATGGGGCCATTGATGGCATGGGCAGGCTGTTTGGGACCCTGGCCATCTCAGCATGCAGTCTGTCCCACATGCAACCTCGCAGAGCACCCACGCAGAGCACCCTGCAGCTGTAGCACCCCAAAAAGGCTGTCAACCCTCTGCAGGGACACTCAGCCCCTATTTCTCCTGCCTGCCGCCCCCCCCCCCCCCCC